TCTGTTGCCTTGCAATAGTTAAGTTTATATTATATGTGATCTTCTAATTTTTGTTTTAAGTAAAAAAGAAAAGTGGTGATTCCTGCTTAAAAAAAAAAAAAAAAAACCCAATGCCACTCCCAATATGGCGGACCGCGGTCAGCTGATTGGGACTTCCGTCGCTGGACGGTAGCACCTGTCACGTGACCGGTAAACTGGGAAGGGTTTCATGTCAGTGGAGCAGGAGGGATGTGAACTGTTAGTTTTATCCTCTGGACACATTTTCCTTCTTTTCTCAGTCGCGACTCTTTCTCTTCAGGCGACCAGCTTCGGCATTTTCCGGCTCATTTCGGAAAATGGCGTCAAACGGCTGTTTTTTTAGGAGCTTGTTGAGTTTGTTCATCTGCGTCACTCTGCGGAGCGAGCAAAGCAGCGGCTTGTTTGGAGATTTCAACCGGAGACCAAACATCGTTTTAATCCTCACCGATGACCTGGACATCACTATGGGCGGCTTGGTCGGTGCTTTCCCGTTAATATCAACCGATATTTGATGTTTAACATTAATATCAACCGATATTTGATGTTTAACATTAATATCAACCGATATTTGATGTTTAGCATTAATATCAACCGATATTTGATGTTTAACATTAATATCAACCGATATTTGATGTTTAACATTAATATCAACCGATATTTGATCTGTGTTTGTTAGTTATGCCTGATCTGTTCATAATGAAGCTCACATTCCTGCTTTAAGTCATCATTTAGGGTCTAATTAGGGAGCAGAGGGCAGTGTCTGTGATGAAGGGAAATTCAACATTTAGGAGAAAAATAATGACTTTTAGAACAAAATATCAGTCCTTAATATGTTTGATGTAATTTCAAAGAATTACAAAGAACTTCATTCTGTTTTGTTTTTTGTTTAATGTTTCTCCAAATTATACACACGTGTTAATATAGAAATTATTAGTGCCAAAATATAATTTTCTACACATAACTGAAAAATAATTTCAGCCTTAACTGCAGGAAGTCAAAAAGGTCCTATCAAATGATTTATTTCACAGCGATTCCGTTTTCCAAGCAATTACGGTTGAAATTCCCAAAAAAAGTAAAAAAAACAAAAAAAAAAACAATCCACTGCAGGGGCGGAGATAGATGGGGGGCCAGGGGTGGCCGTGGCCACCCTTATCCAATCATTGGCCACGCCTACCATTTTTTCCCCTCTAAAGGGCTGGTTATCCTCCCGCAGCAGTGTGTCGCAGTTATGATGCAGACATTTTTGATTTATGCTAAATATTGAATTATTGTTATTCCACAGGAATTCCAAGAGAAATGTTGACCTGGTTGAATAGGCGAAAAAAAAAAGAGTTAAAAACAATCCACTGGACTTTGTTTCCAAGTTTGAAGAGGTTTCTCTTCCCATCCAGGAAACTTTTTCTATTCAATATCGCCTAATCAGCCACCCAGCAATTCCCTCTAACGACCCCCTTTCAGAGACATGGACAGGTATGGGACATTGCAGGCTAACAAAAGAAGCCAAATGACCCCCATTCCAAAGGGGCCCCTTTGTCTGTTCCAATTAGCATGTTTTCTAAACTAAAACCAGGCTTTGTTGGGCTGCTGGATAAAACTCAACACTATTTTCTGACATTTTGAATTGAAAAAGTTTCCTGGATGGAAGAGAAACATCTTCAAACTTGGAAACAAAGTCCAGTGGATTGTTTTTAACCTGGTTTTGGAACGACAATGACCTGGATGGCTGAGAATCTTCAGCATATTACAGTTGAAAGGACAGAGTCTGTTTTTGCTGTGTTAAAGTTCTATAGTTTTTTCCTGCGTAACATGCAGGTCTGCAGTGGCCTGATGAGGAACCATTATTGCTTTCAGGTATGTTGGACGTCTGAAAGTAGGATGGTAGCTCTCAAGGACTGGACTTGGGAACCTCTGATTTCTATTCGCTAAAATGTAAGAGTTTAAAAATCAACTTAAAATTAAAAGGTTAACATTTATTCCCAACTATAGACTTTAATGTATAAAGAAATAGCGGAAACTTCTCAGATCAACACTGATCAGTTTTCTTTAACTAAAACCATGATGCTGTTCATTCTTATATAAAAGAAGACGGTTCAGTCAAAGCATTTCCACTGGATTGCTAATCCAAATGTTTACTAAATCAAGTTTAACTTTATGATTATTTGTGGTTCCCCATCCTGTGGTTCCTCTCTGGTTCCCAGATCTGTATTTTTGAAGGTATTTTAATTAAGAGGGGCCGACATCTGCTCTGTTATTTTAAAAGTTCATTGTTGCAACATGGGGCTAATATCTGTCCCTTCACTTATGTTAAAGGGTTTATGTTTTTAATAACAGTTCTCTGCTTCCTGTTTTTTCGAATGTGTTTACAAAATTCTTTATTTCT